GTCCACGCCAGAGCCGGGGGAGCGGGGTGCGGGGAGGGGCATGCAGGGGGTGGGCTGGGGTGTCCCCTGGGGTCCGGGGTCCCCCCGGCCGGTGGCACGGTGACGGGCCGGTGCTGGGGTCCTGTGGCGCTGCGTGCTGCACGGCTATGGGGGCAGACGCCTGCGTGCACACGTTAGGTATGCATGCACACGCCTGCACACATATGCATGCACGTGTGCACACAAGCGCTCCTGCACGCACATAGACGTGCGCGTGCGCGCGCACACCCCTTTGGCACGTGCACACGTGTGCACAGCCATGCACACGCAGGCATGCACGGCCACGCAGGTGCAGATTTGCACACGCATGTCACCACCAAGGCACGGAGGGTCTGGAGGACACCTGTGACAGTCCCGGGATGCTCAGGGGTGCGGGGGGGACACTAGAGACGAGCAGGAAGCTGAGAGCGCCAGCGTTTCTGAGGCTGGGGGTGGGGTTGCCAGGGGGGGGGGGGGGGGTAGGACACTGCGGGGTCCCCGTGGGGAAGGGCACACCAGCCCCTGTCCTCTCGCGGTGGCCCCAGGGCCGGGCAGCGCCGCGCGCCGTGGCTGTGGGGGGTGGTGGTGGCCCTGATCCGGCTGTTCCGCCGGTGGTCGTGTCGACGACGGTGAACGTGGACGGCCACGTCCTGGCCGTGTCCGACAACATGTTTGTCCACAACAACTCCAAGCACGGGCGGCGGGCACGGCGCCTTGACCCCTCCGAAGGTGAGTCCCTGCCGGGCACCTGGCGTGCCCACGCACACGCACACAGAGCACGTGCCCACGCACACGCGTGTGCTGTGCCCCGGCACGCGTGCACGGCCATACGGAGGGGCAGACGCACGTCCATGCCAGTGGGTGCTGCTCCTACCGCAGCATCCCCTGCCCCGGCTGTGCCGGAGCCAACCCCATGGCCATGCATGCCCCACAGTGCCAGGGCAGCCCCAGAGACCGTGTCCCCATGCCGGGACCCCCGCGGGGAACCTGCCTGTGCCCAGCTCTGCCCCACACCGCTCGGAGGCTGCAACTTCCCCGGCCCTGGCACCTCCCTGCCGGGTGCAGCGGGCACCCCGGGCACCCTGGGCAGCCCTGGAGGTGGGCACCCAGCCCCGTATTTATGCCTTGTACGTCTGTCCGTCCGCCCAGCACACACACACGACCTCTCCATCCACCCGCCGTGCACCTGCGTTTTCTGTCTGTCCCTTCGTCCCTCCGTCTGTCCCGCACGTGCAGGCTGTCCTGCCCTCCTGGGTCCTCTCTGTCCATCCACCACTCTGTCCGTCCGTGCATCGCCATGTCTGTCTGTCCCCCTCTGTCCAATGCATACGTGCCCTGTCCTCCTGTCTGACCTGTTTGCTCTCTGTCTGTCTATCCTGTGCATGCTCTTTCCACCCTCCTGCACCGATGCGCTCTCCCTCCCCCCCTCCGTCCCCTGCACGCGCTTTCCCCCGCCATCCCCATCCCC